TTAGCTCTTTGATCCCTTATGCTATCAGTGCGCCTCGCAAACTTTCGTTTTGCACTTACAAACTGAATGCACAAGCTCTACGAGAGTCTTGTTTTTAATAAAACTTGTACTTACTTTAAAAAAAAAAAACTGTACGATATAATTTTCGTTAACAGCTGAGTCGAAAATAGAGAGAACTAAATGGATAACAAAGAAAACGCTTGATTGAAATATGAGCTGTTATTGTCCTATAGAAATGTTATAATTAACTGTTGCACGGCAATCGTGCTGACAATTTGGTGACGCAAACTTCTTGTTGTTGTTACGAAGCGAGAAGTGTAAAGGGGAAGTTGGATGATGAGTCCAAAAGAGTGGCAAGACTCGAAAATGAAAGAAGGAATAATTTGACAAAACTCAAATCTCAGAGAGCAGGTGAGTTGCAGTTCTGAGTGTCCTTCAAGACCATGCAAACATTACAAGTTGTGAAGCATCCCTAAGTGATTCGGCCAATTTTCAAAACCTCTTGTAGTATTCTAGAACCCCGAAAAGTATTGGGGTGACTTTTTCTGATCTACTGTTTGAGATGCACTTTATCTCATATTTTAATACACGGTAGATTTTAATCAGCACCAAGTCTTTGCTGGCCACCCTTTAATTAATTTGAATATATGAAAATCATATACGTTTACTGCGGTTGTAAGAAATGTGTGACAGCGATCCCCACAGTAATGAACACTACTTACGTAGAAGTGAGAATAAGGCCTATAAAAAAAAAGAGAAAAAAATTCAGACCCGTACGGAATTTGAATTCATGAACTCTTCGATATCGGTGCAATGCTCTACCAACCACAGACTAACAGGCTACGTAACGATATGACTCAAGCTACATAACGATCGGCGCTAGAACTTTCTCCCCCAATTCAGAAGTTCAATATTAGGCTTGTAGAGGACCTTGTTGTGATAATTTTAAATCATTAAATCTTACCATAACTGCAGTTTTCCCTTTTGGCATTAATTTACAAACGGCTCAGCCATGCTTTTATCCCCGTCTGTTTCGAGTTGAGTTCTTTACTTCATTCTCACTAAAAATCCCAGTGATTAAACTGTTAACTGATAATAAACAACTCTGTCGAATCTTTACATCTGAAATCACTGTTATAAAATAGCAGTTAATTTTTGATCTCTCATCAGTTCTCGCAGAGTTTCGTTTTGCAATAACAAACTGAATACATCGTCTTCACAAACTTCTTGTCTTTAATTAGTTTTGAACTTAGACGATCAAAAAGGTTACAGAATGGTTTTCATTTACGGCTGAGTGGAAAATGGGAAACACTCCGTGGGTAACCTAGACAACCCATGATTAAAGCATGAGGTGTTATTGACCGTAGAAACCTTGTTATAAGCGATAAATGTGTTTATTCTCAAGTGCACAGCTACTGACGAGAGCGTTTGATTTGCCTCTATTCCGTTTTTTATGGCTGTCGTAGAATTGATGACACAAATATCCTCTTTTTGTTCTTGCGTAATTATGCATAATATTTCGAAGGATAGGAAACTAATAGCGTCATATTTGTTATTTATTTGGGAATTATGCGACAAAGAGGGAAAGCTCAGGCAATGCCAAGTCGGCGAGAGAGGTTCTCCCGAGACGATGCCTTGTAGCGCAGAGGAGCCGGCAAATGCATCGAGAACACGAAACATAAGTCTAAGGGAGTTAAAAGAAAGTCTCCAAACTGTCGGAAAGATGGATCAAGCTTGGACGAGAATGGAACCAAGAGTAGGTGAGTTTCAGTTTAGTCTGAGTGTCCTTCAAAACCATGAAAACATAATATAATGTTGATATGCTGATTGTTCGTAAGCTCCTCACAGTTAATTGCCAATGTTCTGTAAAATTCCGGCCTTTTACCGAAAACACCATCAACCAGATCTGCCTAGTTTTTTTTTTTGGTTAAAATTTCGGCATAGGGGTCGTATAAGGTCATTTGAAAAAATTCGGAAAAGATTGATTCCCTTTCAAACACTTGTTACTGTGATTTTGGATACTGTTTGGCAGTCGAAACCGCTCCTGAATTTGAGTGTAAGAAATATACTGTGCTGATTGATTCAACTAAGAGAATCTTCAGCTGAGTGTTTTCAAGCCGTTTGTATCTTTCTTTGTTTTCGATCGCCCTAGGGATGTTCTCGATTAAAACGTCTTTAAAGGTTTAATCTATTCAAGGTTTCTCATTGAGTTTTAATCGAGGGAGGATAATTTGTTTGTATTTCTTATAAATCACTTTTGCAACACTGAGTGATTTAGTGCACCTTACGATATTGGTCTTCTTGGCTTTGTACAATGTAGATGAACCTCCAAGGAGACAGCAGAACATGGGAAGTAACGAGCCTTTGAAAACGATGCAAAACCCGCTAATGGAAGAAGCTGCATTAAAAGAGGCTATCGAAAAACGTATCCTAGAATATATAGCGGGGCATGAAAATTTCTAGGTGCTGAAAGAAATGAGTGAAATCATAGTCAGAAAAGTGAAGGAAGAATTTTCAGGAGCGTCCTGAAAAGGCAATTCTGCTGTGTTTTCATCATAATTATGCTATACTTCAATGTCGGTTTTATCTAATAGCAGACAAAATATAAGCCGAAAGCTAGAATGGGATAGAAAGTGGTATCATGATGAGAAAGGGTTTGAAATCGTAACCAGCTAATTTCTAGGGCAACCAGAAATTAAAGAATGGACTGTTGATGAAGAGAATTGTACTCTTGTACCATTTTCATGGTACTCGTTTACACTTGGCTGTGATCATTTAGAAGTAGGAATATTTTAGGGCAAAGGATAATCTTAAAAACCTCTCTTCTTTTGTATTTCGTTGTGATGGGCCCATCTTCCTAGCTCGGGTAGCCAATCACAACACAGGATTTGCTTCATCTCGCCCACGAGCGCTGCCAGCTGTATAACAAATACCAAGTATGGAGTCAAGATGGCTGGATATCGCCCACGTTTTATAAACCGAGACGAAGTTGATGTCCATAAAAACACACATAAAGAACGAGGCTAATATCCAGCCATCTCGACAGAACAAGTTTGGTTAATAAAGGGTATATTAAAAAGGGTTGTCCAAAAACACGATGGAGGGATAATCTCACCAGACAGCTGGGACCTGCATGGTCGAGATTGGTTAAAGTCAGATACCTGTGGGATCATTCTAGGGAGGAGTTCCTCCGCCAGGTGTGAAATTAACTCTGATGACGATGATGATGATATTAAAACAGCAAAAAGAT